CTGTACATTAATATGCGCAAGCTGGAAGAAAAGAGAAAGTCGTCTTTGGCACCTAGTAGTTGCTGGTTGCGTGGACGCGGAAAGAGATCCGGAGGCATAGCCGGTCGCAGTATCCACAAAGGCGAACGTGCCGAGCATATAGCTAGAGGCTTTCAACCCTCAGACGACTGGAATGTGGCAAGACGAGTTGGAACGCCGAACTGGAGATGGTGAGAGGGCAAGTAATGCGCAGAGTCCAGACAGCTGCGCGCTAATTGGCCATGAGACTCACAGACAGCTACCAACACAAACACCCTGGTACAAACGAGAACAACGAAAAACTGGTGCACATTAATTGGATGGACGCCCCAGTTCAACTAGTCTCCTGTGACCGGAGTACATGGATATTTCCTTCAACCTTCGCTCTTGCAGGCTTCGGATATCCGTATCCGATCCGCATTGGACTGGTCGCGTCATCCAAATTCAAGTATTCACGAAGACATGCTGAGTTGTGAGATATGCCTTCTACCACGACGACTATCCACCCCGAGTCGCACTGTCAGTGAAATAGTGCGTGTCTATTGTCAAGCCAATACAGAACTGCTTGTTCTGATAGACCCAGGTAGCCAGCTGACCAACCTAATGAGCAAATCCAACACAGTCCGCTCATGAGATCTAAATTACGGATCATTATGGATCATCAAGACGGGAAGATTTTCCTGATGATCAACTTCTGCATCGTGATCGAGTTCTGACTGTACAAAGCAGCCGATTCTGGAGAAGCCATTTTGGACATATAGTGAATGAATTGTCGGCATGCCCTTCCTGTATCTGTCGCGCGCGGGGCCGACCCCGCGAAGACGATAACAAAATTGATAGTAGTTCAGGATATCGTCCGCCAGTGTGGACTTGGTCGAGGTAGTCGCAAACGCTCTTCATAAGATCAGTTTGAACGGTGCACACATGTTGAATCTGAACTCACAAGCTGCACCATAGGTGACTCAATATTGAAGTAGAATGATATTAGTACCGATTTCCCGCTTTATGTGTATATGGAGCCTGGATGATAGTGCTGTAGGTGAGTTTGCCTGGGGAGATCGTAGATCATGAACATGCATTACTTTCTCTAGCACCTCTCCTTTGTAGGGCCACACCGGCGGCTCTTCTAACATCATACCATCTTCTCAGCCACAAAATGGCCACGCCCACTTATGTGCGCTAGCAGCCACACAGACAGCTCAGTATCAAGACATATCCGATTTCAACATGGGACCAACATACTATCCGTTCTGGATCCGTCACTCTCTTGGTGAGAGACACTCTAGTGATCACCACATTCATATAGCCATGTCTCTGGACGCCGAAACTGCCGAAAAGGCACTCAGAGCTCCTGCATCGCTCCTTACCATCAAACACAAGCCATGGGATGGCCACCAACCGAGGACGCTCAAGCGAGTGCCCCACAGCGAAGGTACGTCTGCTTGGACTTCAGACGTGGAATATAATAGTAACCGTTTGTTGGCACAAGTGAACGCGACGCCGTTCAAGCTGCGGGCAATGAACGTTGTAAGCGACGAGACCGGCGTGGCAGATACTGCCGTCAAGAAATACATCCGGGCCGAGTTCACGAACAAGATCTTCCGCGACTATGACTTGGTCGACATGATACGTGCCGTCCTCAGATTCTCGCCTGAAGATCTCCCCGATCAGCCAGTCTCCACGTCCAGGCGCGGAAGACCGCGGAAGTTCACCCTTCCGTACGCCGATGTTCTGAAATACTGTGATACGACAGAGAAAGACAGCTACGCGCCATTCTCCAGGATCGTCCAGTCGCTGATGGACCAATTGTTCGGTAAAGGACACAATGCCGTCGGCCACCAGGCGACGCCGACGCCGAGCGCGGCTAGGCGGATATATCGAACGCGAAATGCAAATCGGAATAGGGTCAATGTACGGAGCATGGATGCAGCGATGACGCCGATGAAAGAACAGATTGCGGATGGAGACTATGCACGACTGCGGCCCGACATGGGATGCAGTGCGAAGCAGGGGCGGCAAGGATGGGAGTGGTTGCTTGCGTGCGGTGAAGTGAAGAAGCAGCGGTTCGACGCGCCGGACGAAGAGAGTTTGACGTTCACGGTGCAGGCGTTGAAACAGGTATGCTTCTTCTTCGTCACGCGTGGATGTTTGCAGACGAATTCCATGTGCAGGCAGCAGCTCGAAAAGGAGTGGTGGGCCAAAAGCGCAAGAGGGCTTCGCAAGAGTACGCTATTGGCGAAGGCCCGCTCAGGCATATTCGCCGCAAGGTCCGACCAAGGAGATCGAAGGCTACAGACCGAGATGGCGATGAGAGCGACAACGACGAGCAGAACGTGGTGAATGACATTGCAAGTGATTCAGCCGAGCAGAACGATAATGCGACAATCTCGTGCCTGCCGATGTGGTTGAATGACAACGAAGTGCAAACAGCCAAGTATATCAACGAGCTCATGTCTCATGGTGTCCGGTCGTATGGCATAGGGTATCTGCTGATCAATACATCCATGACGCTCTGGTACGCCGACCGAATGGGCATCGTCCTGTCAGAGCCATTTGACATACTGGATGAGCCTGACAAGCTGCTCCTTGTTGTGGCGGCCATTGGTGCTGCGGACTATCATACTATGGGAGTCAGCCCGTTCCTTTACTTTCCTCTCGTGGAGAGGACGTTTGCGAGATACGATGGCGCACAGCTTGTGTTCCAGCCTGATGTGGCGTACCAGGTAGACAACTCAGTGGACGAAGAGAAGAAGATCAAGGACGAGCTCGTGTTTGACCTAGCCGTGAACAAGACGCATCGCGTGTATACTGAGTATGGAGCATTTGGGCGGGGAACAACAGTCGTACCAATAAAGGCTGCAGGCAAGGCGAAGGAGATGTGGGGTTCGGACGATCTAGTTGTCAAGATTGCCTGGCCAACAACATCGCGCAAGTCTGAGGCATCGTTTGTGGTTTCTGTCCGCTCTGCGCTACGTGCACAAGGTAAATCTCAGTACCTGAAGCACATTGTGGACATGAAGTGCTTTGTGGATCAGACAATGGAGGAATTGATGCTTCCGCGATGGCTGTTAAATGTGACACCTTTGGAAGAGCGAATCTGCAGGGCGATGGTTCTTCAATGGTATGAGAAACTGCAGGCGATAGAAAGCGTTGATGAATTCAAAGATATTTTTCTTGATGTTGTACGAGGTAAGCGCTCCATCTAGATTCTAGCTTGACTCTCAGACGTGACTGAATTGGATCCTTCCAGCGCATCATTGGGTGTGGGTGACGTCGGCTATCCTCCATCGTGATGTGAGCGTGAACAACATCATGTTCCGACGCATTGGGGGCCGCGCAGTCGGTGTTTTGTGTGACTGGGACCTCGCCATCACACACGATCCTGAAGAAGAGCTGAAGGATGAGACCGCGGACGAAGAGCCCCCCGAGTTTCACAACCTCTACAGACTCACCCCCAAAGTCGCAGTACCTCAATCTCCCGATCCCGTCGCCGTGGACCCTGCCCATAATCGGGAAGGAGAGAACGAACAAGCTGGATACCAGGACACACCCCGCACGCAGCCCAGGCACCGCACAGGTACAGGGCCTTTCATGGCAGTCGATCTGCTGACGCCAGGACGGGTCCCATATCACCGGTATCGCCACGACTTGGAATCGTTCTTTTTCGTCCTTGCGTATGTGTGCATAACTTTCCAGCCCGAAGAGCACACATTTGGACCGCTCTCGGAATGGGAGGACTCAAATATCTTCACGATCGGCTATAACAAGCGGGCATTCCTCATCAACGTGCCAACTCACATGCGACTGATTGATCGTGTGCACCCAGACTTTCAGCCTCTATTGAGGGACTGGTTAAAGCCGCTTTGGGGCCACTTCGCCGACGTTGCCTCGTACTGGTCTATCACAGGGAACAAGCTCAGGAAGCTTCGAGAGGCGATTGATACGCAGGACAAATCGCTCCAGCAGGAGCTCAACGACGACCTCAGACGATTCCGTATGGAGAAGAATAGGGCGATCACTTACAAAAAGTTCATGAGGTGCATCGGTGCCGCAGAGGATATTGCAGACTAGATTCCTCATTGCGGACGAGTATTTATTACATGTTTATATGGTCTGCCATTTTGACGCGTGTTTAGAAATACACCTTGAGCCCTTGTGTCAAGGCCACTAACTATCTTGCCCCTCGTCAGGTTTTTTGAGAGCGATTTTTGGACTCGCTTAGGATAAGTGCAATACGTGTTTCCATCTTCGTGTCGATTGCTATCCAGTTCGCTGCTTCTTATGTAGTTTCTGTTGTATTTGCTTTGTTTCGTGCCACAACGGACAAGGGATTGAGCATGCTATGGCCTGCGGGCCATAGCGCGCGCGTGTATATATAGTAGCCAGTAGAGGGGTCGCAGCCCTCAAGCGATTATCCCCACATCTAATCGACCCGCATCCCAGTTCCAACTGACGAACTTCAACAGTTTCTCGGGATGGCTTCTTTTCTAAATTCCATATCCTTTTGTGGGCACCCAGAGGTTTGTACCACGAGTCATACGGCCTTGGCGCGCGTGTTTGACCAGTTGTATACGCATTACTTGCCCTATCACCATCTCCAACGTTTGACGCGACGTTATTCTACTCCTACTTGGTGTTCCAGCCTATATTACCACATTTAAGCAGCATGAGAGCTGAGAATTTACGGCTATATGCTCGGCATATTCGTCTTCGTGGATGACATCCTTGAGTTGAGCTGCCGCGATCCTCCGGATCCCGCGCTTTCCTCCACGCAACCAGCCCAATGCTGAAGACAACGCTTCTTCCGGCTCGCGTATGTTAATGTGTAGTGAGAATACATTAAAACATCCTGGTGCACGCGAAAGCAAGGAGATTAGAAAACAAGCAAGCCCGAGACATTACAGAAGAAATAGCGAGCTGTATCGAGATCGACGTGAGGATGGAAACATGTAATAGATGATTATGAGCAAATCACAAATGTGCTCTCAGACGACTTGACGAGGGGTAAGACAGCGAGTATAGTGCTTAAACAAGAGCCCAGGGCGTACTGTGGCAGACAATGGCTACAGGAACAAACAAGTCAACAGAGCATAGTAGCCAGCACTGTTTGATAAGGGAATTGCATTCTACGACATAAATATTTGAATAAGTATCCGTTCGACTGCACGCAAACAACTCAGTCTGAAATGTCTTCTGATGCACCGATGCATTCCATAAAGATCTCGTAAGTCATCATCTCATTCTTCTCCTTGCGAATTCTTCGTAAATCGTTGTTGATGGTCATTTGTAGCCGGCAGTTATCCGAGTCCATCGCCTGTCGAAGTCGCCTGAGTTTATTCTTCATTACGCTTGAATACGAGGCAATGTCGGCAAAATATCCCCAAAGAGGCTTCACCCACTCCGCTAACACGGGCATAAAATATGCGTGCGCGCGGTCGACGAGGGACGTATTGACGTTGACGTCGAGGAGAAAGTCTTGTTATGACCAATCGTGAAGATGTTTTGATCCTCCCATTCCAAAAGTGTCGTGAAGGTATGCTCGTCCGGCTGGAACGTGATGCACACATACACAAGGACGAAAAAGAACGATTCCAGATCGTGGCGATAGCGATGGTATGGAACTCGTCCTGGGATTAGAAGATCCAGCGCCATGAAGGGACCCGTACCTGTGCGGTACCTGGGCTGTGTACGAAGGACACCACCACTACTCCCATCAATATCTTCCCCTCCTGCATTGGTAGGGTCGAGGGCTGCAGCGGGAGGAGCTGGGGATTGAGAGGGTGCACTGGCTATCTGATAGACATCAGCAAATTGAGGAGGCTCTTCATCCGCTAAGTCTTCCTTAAGCTCCTCTCTAGGATCGTGTACCGCAGCCAGATCCCAATCACATAAAACCCCGACCGTACGACTCCCCACACGATAAAACATAATGTTGTTAACACTAATATCGCGATGGAGGATAGCAGAGGTCACAAACACCCAATGATGCCCTGTGTGTATCAATATCAGAATGACTCGAGATGCGAAAAAACAACGAACTTACCTCGAACGACATCAATAAAAATGATTCTGAATTCCTCAACGCTATTCATAGCTTCCAGTTTCTCGTATCTTCGAAGGACCATCGCTCTGCAGATTCGCTCCTCCGAAGGCGTCACATTCAACAGCCACCGTGGGAGCATCAACTCCTCCATTGTCTGGTCAACAAAGCACTTCATGTCCACAACGTACTTCAGATACTGAGATTTACCATGCCTACGTAGCGCCGAGCGAATCGAAACCACGAACGACGCCTCAGACTTGCGCGATGTTGTTGGCCAGGCAATCTTGACAACTAGGTCATCCGAGCCCCACATCTCCTCCGCCTTGCCCGCAGCCTTTATTGGTACGACCGTGGTCCCACGTCCGAATGCTCCATACTCAGTATACACGCGGTGCTTCTTGTTCACAGCTAGGTTGAACACAAGCTGATCCTTGATTTTCGTCTCTTCGTCCACTGAGTCGTCCACCTGGTACGCCACATCAGGCTGGAACACAAGCTGTGCGCCGTCGTATCTCGCAAACGTCCTCTCCGCGAGAGGAAAGTAGAGGAACGGGCTGACTCCCATAGTATGATAGTCCGCAGCACCAATGGCCGCTACCACAAGGAGCAGCTTGTCAGGCTCATCCAGTATGTCAAACGGCTCTGACAGGACGATTCCCATCCTGTCGGCGTACCAGAGCGTCATGGATGTATTGATCAGCAGATACCCTATGCCATATGACCGGACACCATGAGACATGAGCTCGTTGATATACTTGGCTGTTTGCACTTCGTTGTCATTCAACCACATCGGCAGGCACGAGATTGTCGCATTATCGTTCTGCTCGGCTGAATCACTTGCAATGTCATTCACCACGTTCTGCTCGTCGTTGTCGCTCTCATCGCCATCTTGGTTCGCAGTCTTCGATCTCCTTGGTCGGACCTTGCGGCGAATATGCCTGAGCGGGCCTTCGCCAATAGCGTACTCTTGCGAAGCCCTCTTGCGCTTTTGGCCCACCACTCCTTTTCGAGCTGCTGCCTGCACATGGAATTCGTCTGCAAACATACACGCGTGACGAAGAAGAAGCCCACCTGTTTCAACCCCTGCACCGTGAACGTCAAGCTCTCTTCGTCCGGGGCATCGAACCGCTGCTTCTTCACCTCGCCGCACGCAAGCAGCCACTCCCATCCCTGCCGTCCTTGCTTTGCACTGAATCCCATATCAGGCCGCAGTCGTGCATAGTCTCCATCCACAATCTGTTCTTTCATCGGCGTCATCGCTGCATCCATGCTCCGCACATTCACCCTCTGCAGATTCGCATTTCGCGTTCGGTATATCCGCCTAGCCGCGCTCGGCGTCGGCGTCGCTTGGTGGCCGACGGCATTGTGTCCTTTACCGAACACTTGGTCCATCAGCGACTGGACAATCCTGGAGAATGGCGCGTAGCTGTCTTTCTCCGTCGCATCGCAGTAATTCACGACGTCGGCATACGGAAGGGTGAACTTTCGAGGTTTTCCCCGCCTAGATGTGGAGACAGGCTGGTCAGGCAGATCTTCAGGCGAGAATCCGAGGACGGCACGAATCATGTCAACAAGGTCGTAGTCGCGGAAGATCTTGTTCGTGAACTCGGCCCGGATGTATTTCTTGACGGCAGTGTCCGCCACACCGGTCTCGTCGCTGACGACGTTCATCGCCCGCAGCTTGAATGGGGTTGCGTTCACTTGTGCTAACAAACGGTTACTACAATATGCTGCGCCTCGAGTCGAAGCGGACATACCTTCGCTGTAAGGCGCTCGCTTGGGCGTCCGCGACTGGTAGCCATCCCATGGCTTGTGCTTGATGGTGGGGAGCGACGCAGGAGTTCCAAACGCCTTTTCAGCGGTTTCGGTGTCCAGAGACATGGCTATGTGGATGTCGTGAAAACTAGAGTGTCTCTCACCGAGAGAGTGGCGTATCCAGAACGGATAGTATGTTAGCCCCATGTTGAAATCGGATATTTCTTTTATACTAAGTTGTGTGTGTGGCTGCTGGAGCACGTAAGCAGGCGTGGCCGTTTCCTGGCCACGAAGACGGACTTGGGGGAGCTGTGGCAAACAAAGGGGAAATACGGTCGATCGCGTCGCGAGTCGCGTTCAACATCACGTGGGCGTTCCTTGGACTTATTCACGTATTTTACGCTTGTTACATGTTATTTACGCGTTTTAATATGTCACATGCCTTTTCTAAGAAATCCGGTGATATCTGTTTTTTTACATTATTTACTGAGTAAATAACAGGCGGACTTAGTCACCGATCGTTATTTACATACCTCGGAGTTTTCCCCCTAGCACTAGTCTCGACTGTTGAGTCTAAAGAACAAAATACATTTTTTCCGCTCATTGTGGCCTTCGAGAGTTAGGCCTAATTCCCTGGTTTCCCCTCGTTGCTAGAAGCTCTCCCATTGTGATGTTTCGAGACCCCCTTGTATTTCGCATAAAATACCTTGGCTTCAAATTGGCCATGGTCGCTAAGACTCGCTCCCACCTTGAAGTACGATGAACGCATATGATCTACAGTCGCCCACGGCGCTTCATCGTCTGTTCGCTCAGGCTCCAGATACAAGTGCAACAAGAGCTCGGTACTAATGTACTTCTAAGTCAAAATTTAATCTGTGGTACAGCTTGTGAGTTCGGATTGACCATGTCGTGTGCATCGTTAACACTAACCTCACACAGAGCGTTTGCGACCACTCCCACCAGGTCAACACTGTGGTGAATGATGTCTCTAACTACCATCGACTTCGACATTGTCTTCACAGAGTTGGCCCTGCGTGCGATAGATACAGGAAGGGACGCGCCGACTATCTCATTCACTGTGAGGTCCAAAAAGACATCTCTGGAATTCGCCGCCTTGTACAGTCGTTTGTGAATCTGCAGCCAGAACCCGGTATCAATGCAGAAAGGATTGACGTCGTCTTTGCTCCAGTATAACGCCATTGCTTCTCCGGGCTGATGTAAAAGCTGCTGTTGGTGCGACGTAAATCGGAAGATTTCTTTTCGACAGCGTTGGCGGAACACAAGAAGCCGACGATATATACGAGCCGGTACGTCTTCCATCGCGCCAACATAGTAATCACGCGGTTGGTATACTGCATGGATAGCCGCCTCCTCGGTTTCCTCCACCCACCCATATCGCGCTGCAGTGAAAAAGACACGAAAAGGGTCGTCCCCAATCGACTCTCTGAACTTTCTCCGTGCTGCCTCAGCTGCCCTCGTGATTTGATAATGCTTTGCAAGCTCTAAGAGATGTTCTGCCTCCGACAGGTCTTTGATGTCTGGATCGCCCATTGGGTAACAGAACTGGAGAAGCATGGAGAAGCTATGCCCGTCTACGGACCCCGGAAGGTGAACGACGCTGTGACTACCTAGTGGTGCTGCCGGAGCTCCCTCAATTTCTTGGGCAAGAATCGGAGATGCAAGGATGATAATCTGTCTGTAAACGTATAGCCGCGCCCCACATGAAGTTTGAAAGATAATGTCTCCCTTGGCAGGATCACTGAAAGGATGGGTGATTGGCAGGCTAGGCGGCGGGACAGTCATTCGTGCCAGTGGCTGGCAGAACTGCGGGCAGACTGGGCTTGATAAGTCAAATGTGTAGACCCGCCGACTGCAGATGAAGAGGAGACGAAAGTACGCGCCTGCGGGGAGGTCATCGAGGTCGTCGACGTAGGCGTCGAAGAAGCATGGGAGGATCCGCGACTTCCCATTGGAATGCTTTGCAAGCACAGCGCGAACAAAGGTGGACGCCGCGCACCTTGCTATGTATTCGATGTCCAGCGTGCACGCCGCGGCATACACTACGAGAGGATGGTGCTTTACGAGGTCGAGCAGACGCCTCAAAATCAGTCGGATAACAGCATCGTCCATCTCGTACTTCCTTGTTGCTTCAATCAAAGGTCGTACATCTTTAGGGGACAAATCGAACGTGGGTATCTGTGCAGTGATTCTGTAGCAGGCCCGCAGGAGACTTTCGAGTGCTCGGGCATCCTCAGTAACGTCGATCGGCATGATCACGACATCGGCACCTAGCGTAGGCCGACAGGCTTCGGCGCACTGAGATTGGAAACCCATTGGAAGTAGTTCTTCAGTTTCGGTTTGAGGCAAGGAAAACATGGTAGCAAAAAATGGTGAGCATTTACTGAGAACTTTCTTGTGACAATAGAAATTGATGTTGTCTGAAGAACGGAGAATGACATCTGCATTATTTGACGCATCGTGGAATGGGGGAGGTCCATTTGAGTTACCGCGTATAGGCATTTTCAGCATTCAAATCCAGCAGGACAGAGAGTTCGGCTTGAAACAAAGACGCAATACACGCTGACTAGGATTTGGAGAACTCGGAATGTCGCATGGCGAGCACGAGGACAGTATAGGCTTTAGGGCAGGACAGCGCGCGTCCGGCGGCCATTCGAGTCTCGACCCATCGTGTGGCGTCGAACCCGAGTGCGCGCTGAAAACAATATCTTTCACTTACCTGCTCCTGGCAGCCAATCGTGCCCACCAAAATGCAACAATATTCAAGCAACGTACCTGAATGATGCTAACGTGGAGTCACAGTGACAGAATATGTCGAATGATCCCTATGGCGATCATCGACATTGAATGTGCGATATGCATGGGCAGAATTTATTACATCAAGAAAGAAAAAATGCAGAAAGCCTCTCAACATGTAAGCAGCAAGAATAGCGAAGCATCCAGAACAAAACACGAAGAGTAGAAGACAGAAGGCTCTCAGAGAGAATCGGACTCACGAACTGCCACGGAGACGTTTTGGAACGTGACTGCGCTGCTTTAGGGTAGGGCGCGGCGCGATGGCCACTGTCACGGTGAAATCAGCCCTTCATTTTACTCTGCCTGCAACCCACACAATTTCTCAGGGACCGCTCATATACACGCATGTCTCCGCTGCGTTACCAGGGGTAATTCGAACCGTGCACGCTTTATTGAAGAGAGCTCAAGGCTCAGGTGCGCGAACGTCAGATTTAATGCAAGTTCGAAAGCTGCCCGGTGTGCAGTTGAGTTGTCCGGCATGCCTAGACACGGTGCTCACAGCTGTCCGCTGTGCACTTGGACGGCAGCCAGGCGGTACATCTACTTGGGTGCGCGAACTCCGACTCATGTTAATCAGAGCGTCCTCGATTTTCTGTAAGTACCCTCACGCTGTGCGTCAGTTGAAGGTGTGGCCAGCATACATGTTTTCTCCGGCTATTTGAACAGTGTTGCTTACTGCTGACTACGCAAGTAGACAATCGACCACGTTACCACCAAATGACGATTTACCTCCGTATAAGCCTCTTAATCATAGTCTCCATCTTCTCATCATCATATTGAGCAGACACCGCAACCATTAGACGATTCAACATACTGCATAATCTCACTACCGTGGATGCTGTATATCACATACTAGTGGTTTCAGCAAAAACCAGCATTTATTCAAAGCTGGTTCATCATGAACTTGGCTTGGTCCATGCCCATGCGATTGATGATCTGCAGACAGTTCGGGCAACGATCCAGAAGGAACTGGTTGCGGACACCCGGGACGGGAACCACGAACATGTCCGGACCCCTGGAGGGGTCAATGATCTTGTATGGCCTCGCCGAGAGCCCCCTCGCATTGTGCAGATCCACCTGGGCATGAATCCTAGACGCGATGCGGTCAGCGATGGGCCAAACGGAGAGACACTATATGCTTACGACTGGACAAACAAGAAGGGGAACGTCTCCGCGCAATGTCCGACAATTTGCGGCGTCGCTCCCGCAATATGGCACTCGTGGATATCGGTGGCCATATTCTCAGCAACAAGCCTGTTCGCCCTGCGCACCCGTGCACTCTCCTTGAGCGCTGCAGGTGGTCTGTCCAAGACTGCACCTAAAGACACCCGCCCTACTCCCGCTTGCGTAAACCAAGTCATCTGCAGGACCTGGGGCTGCTTCTGGCTGCTTGACAACACACGGCAGAACTTGGCATACAGGACCGCGAGAGGGTAGAAGTAGTTGTCCACGGTGGCACCGGCAGGCGTCGTGCCGGTGACTGAGAATATCCAGCCGACCAAATCGAACAGGGTCTCGAGTTCGAAGTCTGTTCCTTGATAATGGACCCTGAGCGTCGGGGGGCCCGCTGCAGGCGGAAATACCTCGCTCTGATGGCTACATAGCCAATATCAGCACATGGAGCGGATTGATTCGTCCAGTTCTATTCTACTCACCACATGTCTGTGATTTGCTGCACAACGTGCGGAAAGCTGGCGCGAGTAGCCGCATCGGCAATGACGCCATATCCATCAAGGTTATTCTGGATGTTCACAAACTCGGCTAGGATCTGCAGAGCTAACAGATCAGTGCGCTGTGACTTTGGATGTCAAATGGTGGCATATACCCTCTGCCATGTCCAGTTGAAAGCCTGTGTAATGTCAACTTGGCCGTTAAAAGCGTGAAGTATAGCTGCCATCCTACGAATCGTCGTAAGCTTCAAATATGTGAGCTGAGAACACCAACCAACCTAAAGTCTTGGAGTTTATTGCACTCGGTATTGGTGAAGTGAGTATCTCGAGGAGTTCGTGCTCTTATATGTAGGTCCACGGCGCTTTGAAACACAGATACAACTTCACTGTTTATTGGAACATGGAGACCAACAGACACGCTCATGGGTGTCATGGGCTTTGGTGGCAGCAGGAAGGTGCCTGTCTCAAGACAAGACCCGATCTGTCGCGGAACGAAGAACACTTGTACAATTCCACGGGCGCATATGGGCCGACGACTGGTAGCTGCTATACAAATATCAATCCAATGGATGTCAGCACGGGGACCGGTGCCAGTATTGGGAAAGTCATTTGCGCCGACATCTGGTCGAACAAATGTCTCGCCACAGGTACAAACTGAGGGCGGTACGATATCTTGTCCGGAATGTCGTTCCATGTACGCGTCCCGACTGGAACCGGACGTTCGGACTGGAGACATCACCGACGCAGGCCATGTCTTGGCATGGAAGGTCTCTCTGCACGGCTGCGACAAACGAGAACACGGACGACTGAAGGGGCAATCGGACTGTGGGCGACCCGAAGCGCCAGTATCCCCCGTGCATCGGGATCCGCCAGGATCGGCGGTCGATACGTGCCACTGACAACACTAGCGGCTCTCGAACAGTTCTTAAGGGCATGAGCAGAGGTTCGATTCCCTCACTGAATCGCTTTCCCCAATGCCTTCGTCTGTAAGTCCTTTCTCCAACTTGGATTCAAAAAATCGCCCCTTTTAACTTCAGACTGCGCAGAAGCCCCCGACAGAACACAAGCCCCAGGTAACGAGCTGACCACCTCGCAAGATATCATTTCTTACCCTGCACAGGACATCCACGCGCAGCAAAGCGTGGCAGTTCCCACTGGCTGGACTGACCAAATTGTCCCCCTGAATACGGTCAAAGAGATGCTCGCCGACTCGACCGGATTGAAGATCGACACCGTCGAGCTCGCCGAGCTCAAGGCGAGCCGCTACTTGTTCCAGTCCGGGAACAGCCTCTACTTTTGGAACGACATCATTGAGCAAGGGGTGCGAGTAACCAGCCCACAGGGGCGCGATGCGGTCTTCAAGGCGATGGCGAGTGGTTGGACGGGGATGAAGTACGAGGAGCTACCGTACGTTCCGCCTCGAGGTCCTGCTCACTGATGCGGTCGCTGCAGTAGCAACTTGGTAGTATTTGCCTCATCGCAGTAGTATTTTGGATGAGGGGCAATCGCATCTCGCCGGAAAGAAGCGCGTGACACGACATAGGCTATGTGATAAACTTTCGTCAAGTCACCTGAGTGTGAAGAAGAATGTTGAAACGGTCATGCGCCGGTTGGAATCACACATCGCTACTTCTAGGGGGATTGGTTTAGTTCTGGATACAGCCTGTACGAATCATGGCCGAAAAGTCTATCCTCTTGGTCAAGCAAGTAAGAGAAACGCGCTTAATCCTAGAGGATGTTTAGAATACACGTAACTTCAGCTCACTGATGTCCCAGAAACCGAGCCCGGATTATGAATGGAGACGCTATAAAGGAAGTGCCGTCACAACCATGAGTGGTTGCCGAGATGCTATATATGTCGAGAGTCAGAGTTGTCGAATATATACCAAAAATCGACTGGGAACGCAGACACATCTTGAAGGTGTCCGGAATTACATGTTAGTCCGAGTCAGTTACGACGATGAATCAGCCATAGGCCAGTAGCCGCCTCAGTTTCTAAGATTGTATTCTGAAGTCTCTGACTGCAGTTGAGGCTGCTAAGTTAGATACAGTGTCTTCAGGTATGTCGTGCTATATATATATTGTAAGCAGCATCAGTGATATGTGAGCCAGGTACACCGTGCCATGGCCCATGGGGGGCGTACTGGGTCCACCAGCTGAGCGAAGAATAATCGAAGGCTCACTGGCAGCAGGCTGAACTTGCTGAGCATAGCGTTTATGGAACGAGATTCCTACGCTTCACATGACCGCGATTCAAATCAAGGCAGGTCGCGACGCGTCGCGCTTGGGCGTCTCCACTGTGCAAACTGTGGCTCGGTAGCCAACGACGTCGTGACGGTCTTATCTTGTTCTCAAATCAAAACCTGCTCTCATGCAAATCCTCTCCTCCATGGATTACGAAGACTACGAACTGGACATCATAACAGCCTCTTCCCCTACTTTGGCCTCGCGGGCAGAATCAGTTGCATCTGTTCCTCACTAAGAGGTCCTCCGCCACCTTAGGTCACACGTCAAGCCTACTAGTCCTCCTACTCTCACTTAAAGAAAGCGTCAGTCACTGAATAATGGTCAGATCAAGAAGGCGAAGATAGTGAGTTCAAAGAATGAAAGAAAAAGAGGCGGCAAGTACATCTGTGGCTTATATTGCTACGATGAGACGAGGCTTGCATCTTTTCTGCCATGCGGAGATGTCATCTCTTTCTTTACAAGTGGGTTGGAGGAATATGAGAGCAGTAAAACCCGCTTCCAAAAGGAGGAGTCTGGCAAGCGCTCGCTGTGTAGGTTTAGGTGCCCAATATCACCCATACAACATTCGACTTGAGTGTGATTGCGGATTTGCTTTTCGCATTATATGTGATCGCATCATATGATGGTATACTGCTCAAGGTCCATGGAATGGGAACCCAAATATTCCTTGTTTCAGTAGATGCCGGCGATCCATTGCGAGTCGACTTAATCGCAGGAGCGGATGCGCAGGTTCACACCAAACTTGGTGTCGTGTCGCCAGGAGCCACTGTCTGGAGCGTGAATCCGATATCGATTCTATCTTGTTCAACTCGATCACATCGAGATACACCGCAGGTCTCACATACTGTCTCCTCCAAATGTATCGCTTATGCATTTTATCGTTATACTTACAGCAATCATTTTTTCACGCTGGGAGTGCGGTTGATCTCTCTGCTTATCGTCACATCGTCCTCTAAGCTGATGGCTGTCGACAAGCTTCTTGCCGATATCCTCCCCAAAGAGGAACGCGTTCTTATTTCCAGCCAATGGGTTGACATGCTGGAGCTGCTTTCGGATTTTTTGACGCTACGTCACATTCGGTTCACCAAACTGGACAGGTCCACTTTGCGTCCGCGCCGCACCCTAGATATCAGGCTGTTCCAGAAAGAAAAATCACCCTACGATGTATTCCTCATCTCCACAAAGGCCGGAGGTTTGGGCATCAACTTGACAAAGGCGACAACGGTCATCATGTTCGACTCCGACGGGAATCCCCAGAACGATCTTCAGGCCATTGCGCGTGCGCACCGGATCGGTCAAACAAAAGTCGTTAAAATGTACAGGCTCATCTGCCGCGGGAGCGTCGAAGACCAGATGCTTGACCGGATCCGCCGCAAGCTGTTCCTTTCCTTGAAGGTCATGGGCTCTAATAATTCGTCATCAGACAAGAATGCCACTGTTCTGAAGACTGGCGAGTTGCTGGATATTCCTCGGAAAGGTAGCAGTGCGCTATCAAATGACGGTAGCGAGATGGACCTCCTGCGTTTCATCCAAGCTTCCATCCAGGAAATATTGGATGCTTCTCGCGAATGCGATGTCACGCGGACCGCGAAGCTGAAGCACCTGGAGGGCTTGTCTGAGGAAGAAGATGAACAGCTCCTGGAGGATGCAGAGGAGGAAGAGTGGAGGCTCTTGACCGGTGTGGCCCAAGTGCAGAGTCATTTCTTCGAGGGAAAGATCATTCAGCAGCCTAAGCGGAGCACTAACGAAAAAATTGCAGCTGAATAGGAAGAATTGCAGAAGCGAGGGCGTTACAATCGTGTTGTCATTGTCTATGGGATGGACATGATTGCAGAGCACATGGGATCGGCGGTGGTGTGTTTACTCTCCATTTATGTGATGGGCTACCAGTTTGCTCAGCTCCACCAGGTACCCCAGGCCGTCTCTCCTGTTAAACCAACCGAGAAGAGATCGCGGCGAGTTATAGAAAGCGAAGATTATTGCATATACTGCCGAGACGGCGGGGAACTCGCGCTGTGTGGTTACTGTCCCCGAGGTATGGTGCTACTTTGAGCTATTGCGAATGTCGCTGAATGCACCCAGTTTTCCATCCAAAATGCCACGGCATGACCAAAGCACAGATTGCTTGTGTCACGACTGCGATATGTAGTCAGCACAGCTGTTGTGAGTGCCATCGCTCTTCTACGGACGCTGGCGGCATGGTCTTCCGGTATGATTCTGCACTTGTATTGCGCTATTAAACGCGGCTGGTGGCGTTGATAGTTGCCGGACATGCCTGCAAGTGTTTTGCAAAGATTGTATCCCAGAAGACTTCGATCCAATTGGGGATGAACTACCTGAATTGTATGTTGGTTGCAATAGATCAACGACCTACATTTGGCTCACGTTGATTCTTGCCAGCCAACTATTGGGATTTGGTATCGTTGCGACCGCATACTACATCTATTGCCCCGACTGCCAAGAGCGCACTATCGAAGAGCCGGAATGGTGGGCAGCATGGCGGCAAGAGTGCGAAGAAGTTCAACTGAAAAGAGATGCCAGTCAGTGATGATACCAACAGCTACCTGGAATACCTTCATGGCGGATCGTGCTTTCATCCATGCTATCACCTGGATTGTCCTATACTGTATCCAAAGGCATCGGACCCTACGTGCAACTTATTATAATATTTGCCTATCAGATGTATACGAAAAAGTCAAAAGTTGTAATCTCCTTCATTTTCTCAAGCTTGACATGGTGGACTAATGGCAAAAGTCTTGATAATGGGAAACAATGCAGTAATGTCATCTGTGGTAGATTCAGCAGATGGGTGAAGGACAGCAATGCAAAACCACTCAGATTGACCGACACATTGGACCTATGGTATCTACATGATGCTCAGATGGGAATTGGACCAGTAAGCCTGAAATCCCTGCTACTCGCGCCCACTGAAAGTGTAAACGATCCCTCCGGCTTGCTCCAGCCCTGCGCGATGATGTCCCAGATGCTCAACTCATACCGCGGAATTGTGATTGTCACAGTCTGAACTTCCCCTGGCTCCAAGTATATTGCATCGAAACCCTTCAACAAACTTGGCGGCTCTCCGGAACCTGTCGGGAAGTGGACGTAGACCTGCGGGATTTCCGTGCCTGCCAGGGCACCTGTATTCTGTACCTCGAATTGCACCTGCACATACGGTCTGTGCAACCAGAACGCCGTCGAGGATCCCTCCCCTTGTGGCGTCGGAACCCCAGCTTCCCAGGCGGCCTCAAGTGCAAGGTCAGTCGGATCATACTGTGGGAGCACGGACACTGCGAGGTTATAATACTCGAAGGTCGTGTAGCTTAACCCGAAGCCGAACTCGTAACGCGGGGTGATGTTGTACTATATAGCTAATAGGTCAGAAACATCAGCAAAAAATCGAAGGTAGGCCATACCTGGTCAAACCTCCTATAGTCGTAGAACAGTCCCTCGGTATAAGGAATGCTAAGAATAGTATCATTATCGCCCCCGAGAATAAGGAACACGCCGTAGTCTTCTAATGCCTTAGCGATCGTATATGGGAGGCGTCCCGAGGGATTCACAGCTCCGTACAGAACGTCGGTGATTGCATTACCAGCTTCCTGGCCAGCAACGTTCGCCCAAATAATCTATACGTTGGATACCTCCATGATCAGCCACTGCCGAAAGTGTAGTTGCAGAGATCCTTACACCGGTGACATTTGGATTTTCTGCCCAGGAATCGATTATGGATGGCCCAACCGAGTGTGCTACGACAATCGTATTGTTGTTGGCCGCTGCGACTGCTTGAATGAGATTGTCCGCGTTGTGCCAGAGTGTCAGGTTATCTCTTCAATGCTTGTCAGCGATCTGCCCTGGGTATATGCTGACAAATTCCTGACCTGTCGCCCCAATTTCCATCCACGGTGATGTAACCTTCCCCAGAGTCTGAATTCACGAAGACAATCTGATAAGCATTTAGTCACCGTCGCCATTACTATCAAATACAACTGAAGCATACCGCAACATCAACTTGCTCAACAGCACTTGCCGCGCCTTCCGTATCCCAATCGAGGTACCAATTTGTTAACGAACTTCCATCGAGGCGTGCACGCTCTTGAATGGCGGCAGCGGGGGAAACAAGGTAAGGGTAGTTGGCAGTTCCTGAACCCCAGCCCACGCCAAGAATGCCATCGTCGCCTCCACGATCGCTATAGCCGTTTGCACCCATAGCACCATTCCCTGCATCTGAACCTATATATCGGGCACCAGACAGCATTAGCAAATTTTGAATGTGTCGCAAATAGCCGAAGATACTCACCAACGAGAATAATACTGCGGGGTTTATTCAACGGAAGCGCTCCATCGGTATTCTTGAGCAAGACAGCCCCTGCGCCACCAATTTCCCGCACTAGCTTGTAGTGGTCGGCCTGAACATCAATATGCTTGTCGTGCACAGTGTCATACAAACTACTCGCATTGAAGGACACTGTGTTTTAGATGACTGTCAGCGCGTCCGACTCAGCGTTGACATTAAATAGGACACAGACCATTAGGGTAGTTGTTGTCCTGCCCCAAAAGGTAATAGCCCGCCATGATACGTGTAGCCATGTCATCCATACGTGCCATAGAGATTGTACCGTTGTCCACAAATGCAGTCAAATTGGGGCCCCACCATGATCCGCCATCCGGCGTGCTAAGGTGAATACCCCCAGCCATCGTCATCTGCGAGCAGACGTCGATATAAAGTATCAGCAGATTGCTTGAGGTGCATAAGCATGTTTAACGTACATCTAATCCTGCAACAGCACTCAAAGTGCTCATCTGCGCACCCCAGTCTGACATGACGTAGCCCCGGAACCCAATTTCGCCCTTGAGTAGTTGGTTCAGCGTCCTATCGTTCTCACAAGCGTACGTGTCGTTTATCATATCTTAGAAGACAGACATCATCTAGGGATCACTGGGTAGCTCACAAACAGCGCGAACTTACTGTAGCTGCACATAACACTAGCAGAGCCAGCCATGACAGCTCGCAGGAACGGCTTCTGGTAGATCTCGTGCTGCGTCCGATCATCCACGTTCGAACTTTCTTGAGTACGTTTGTACTCCTGCTCACTGCGCGATGAAACGAGGTCGTCAGTACGCTGACCATACGCAATCCGATCGAGGGGAGTTAATCACAGAAGCAGCAAATACCCACTAATCGACGTAATGCTTCGCACAGGCCTGAACACCCACACTCTGCAAGCCAAGGACAGTTTCGTAGGCAGCCTCTCCACTCAAGAAGGCGTCCGTGCCGAAACCTTCCCAATTCCGTCCTCCCTGCGCGACACGTCCCATGTTCATCATCGGACCGAGCGCAACGTTGACACCCTTTCCACGGAACTCCTGTCCCATCTCAAGGCCGCGCAAACGCATCATGGTCCGATTGAATCTGCAGATAGCGAAGCAAATCAGGGACACTCAATAGTGGAGGTGGCGTACATACGTAGCGGCAACAGTAATACCAGCGGGGAATAGCGTGTTGAAGTCTGTGTCACGCACGCCAAGGGGAGAGTCCTACACATGGACACACTACATGAGCCAACTACTATAGATAGCACCTATGGTGAAAGACATCTACCTGCAGGCACAATCCTGGCCAGTCCGCGACCGGCGCAATGTTGCCTACGCAGAGAATTGGCTCCTGGTATTCGCCAGTGGTAATGTTGACCTTCTGCTCAAGCGTCAATCCGCTGACGAACGCCTCCGCTTTCGCAAAGGCAACATCCCACGCATCCGAGAAGTCCGGCACGATTTGGGAACCAGAGTTTTCAACCGGCGGAGGATATAAAGGAGAATACGAGGGGAACACAGGAGGTAACGGAGTGGGAGAAACAACGGGGAAGGAAGAAAACGCATACGACGAAATAGAGAGTGTTTGCCAGCCTGCCAAAGCGTGATGAGTGTATTCCGATTACGCTTCCAAAATGCGCAGTGAAACGAACCAACTTCTGTTCCCGAGCCAGAGTTGTATGGAGGCTCGCCCGCAGTCGGCGACGTCGCAAGCGAGGGTGGATTCGTAGGGACTGGATCACCATAGATGGTGTATGTGCTGGAGACTGTATAGGACACACCAGACACCTCGCCCGTGAGCGGAACAGAAGGTGCAGATGTAGCAGCAGATGCGGAAATGGCGGAAGAGACCGCAGACGAGGCTATCGCAGATGAAACGGCATATGAGGTAACCACAGCAGAAGATGCTGCGTAAGAGGAGGCGGCGGCAGAGGAGATAGCGTAAGAAGAAGCAGCAGAGACAGCGCTGGATACTTCCACACCACTCGAGACGGCCGCACTGGATGCAACATCACTGGACGCTATAGCACTGGATGCTACAGCACTGGACGCTACAGGCAAAGAGGACGCAACTGCAGACGATGGCAACGCACCTACGCTCACCGCGGTCAGAACGAGCGCGGAGAGCGCGGCAAGCCGAGCAGCTAATCGCATGTCTGTTACCGTCTATGAAACTGGCCGAGTTTCTACGGGGAGGCTCTGTGGAGAGCTGACTTGTCTTCATAGCATCCCTGCTTTTAGCAGAGGACGCTCGGGCAAAACTCGGCGAAGCGCCAGCGGGTGTAGTACAAGACGCTGGATGATCATGCAATGTGACTGAGCGCACATACCCTTCTTACGATGACAATACGAAACGTTTGCGGACGAACGGAATGGAAACGATGCATGGGCAAGAGAAGAATACTCACGAGTCAGGCGTGCCCGCCATAACGGAGGCCCGTCGATACTCTGGTGAGCATAATAGTATGTAGAATGAGTGCAAGAAGCGATCCTGCATCCCCGCTTGGATTGCGTGATTGAATGGACGAGGGTCCCTGAGTGTCGGCATGGGAATAGGTCGGTACATGCGTCGTATACATGGCATGCATCGATAGAAGACTTTGAAAATTGTATCCAAATGGGAAAGAATGGAGAAAAATGTTGGCTAACCGCGCCGCAACTCCGTTCCAAGAGATCGTTAATAACTGCAAAGGCAGAATGCGTGACATCGGTTTCGTATTCACTCTGGATACTTGGCCTCGAGAAGTGAATTCTAGAGCTTCGTATATGAGGGACACGGCCTCAATAATTTGATAGTAGACAAAATGCGTCCGACAGGAATCCAGGATTTAAGTTAGAGCCGAACCCCAATCGAAGCATATGCGCTCGGAGTCACCAGGAAATTCTCGTCAATTTGAAAAGCTCTCACCTTCAGCCCATCTCCATCCAGGGTCCTGCCTAGCCTTTGAAGGATTTGTACATGCTCCGAGACGTAACATCATGATGGGAGGCCATCACAAGTGGGCCTTGGTATTGTACTTGAACCTGATTTTGAGACTCTAAAAAAGATCCAAGGATAGAACGTCCAAAATGCACGAGCTGCGAAGAGTAATAGTGATTAGATCCAACTAGCAAACGTCATAAAGTGTATAGGTGACAGTGGTCCAGTATCTGGAGGACGGATAGTATACTCAAGCCCGCACGCGCACGGGCCCTGCCCTAAACTGGATGCCGTCCGGCGTTTGGCCGAAAAGCCCGGGCTGGCCTGAACCACTCGGTCGATCCGAGATATGCCCAAGCTCAGTCACTTATATCCATGGACTGTATGTCTATACATGCCGCCGAGATTTCGACAGCGATATCATAGATCGCAATTCTTCACTGGCATATGGTGGTGATATGGGGTAATAGTTGTCCCACTTAGGTGGTTCTACCAGCAACGGCACACATCAACGTACAATGAGATCAGCGGAACCCCTCTCAGTTACACCCCAGTCTCCTATGCTTTATCATTAAAGCAGTGAGTAAATTTATTCCCTCCAGCTCTCTAAATATTTCTTTTGTCTACATAGGTATCTACAAGCACAATAATGCAGTGGTGTCCCAGCATGCAAGTAGTCCAAATAAGTCTGTGGTCCTTCCCACAGATCGCGAAGATAGGATAGTTTTAACAGTCCTCAAATCGGAATGTATCCACTCAATCTGAAGTCCCTGCTACTCGTTCCAACCGACAGCGAGAACGCACCCGATGGCTTCTTCCAGCCCTGTCCAACGACATCCCAGATACTCAGCTCGTACCGCGGAATAGTTATGGTCACGACCTTGAGCTCTCCTGGCTCCAGATAGACCGCATCAAAGCCCTTCAGCAAGCTTGGAGGCTCACCACTGCCCTCGGGGAAGTGGACGTAGATTTGCGGGATTTCCGTGCCAGCGATCGCGCCTGTGTTCTGGAGCTGGAACTGCACCTGCACAAAGGGCGCATGCAGCCAGAACGCTGTCGACGACCCCTCGGTCAGAGGCGTCGTCTCACCGGCTGCCCAGTTGGCCATAAGCCAGTAGTCGGTCCAATCGTACTGCGGAATGACCGATACGTCCAGGTTGTAGTATTCGAAAGTCGTGTAGCTCAGGCCAAACCCAAACTCATATCGCGGGGTGATGTTGTACTGTCATACAAACATCGGTACAGGCCGGACGGATATGGACAACACACGCACCTGGTCGAACCTCCGGTAGTCATAGAAGAGACCCTCGGTATACGGAATGCTGATGATATCAGATCCATCGTTGTCAAGAATGAGGAAGACACCATAATCTTCAAGCCTCTTTGCGATCGTGTACGGGAGTCGGCCAGACGGGTTGTAGTCTCCGTACAGCACATCTGCAATGGCGTTACCTGCTTCCTGACCGGGAACACCAGCCCAGATAAGCTAAAGGTGCGTAAAGGCATGTTAGTGTAATACACGAAGCTCAATACCGGTATATACATACTCCAGTGATGTTCGGGTTCTCAATCCAAGAGTCGATGATAGACGGCCCAACGGAGTGCGCAATGACAATAGTGTTGTTGTTCTGGGAGGCAACAGCTTGGATGAGATTGTCTGCATTATGCCATAGCGTAAGGTTGTTCCTGTTTGACCATGCGTATGCGTTAACTGTACCAATCGGCCGAAGCTTAGGTGCACATACCTGTCACCCTCATTTCCGTCGACTGTGATATATCCCTCTCCGGAGTCTGAGTTCACAAACACGAGCTACAAGGCTGATCAGACGCTATTAACGCGCAAGTGCTCAAGTATTGCTCACTGCGACATCAATCTGCAGGGCTGCGCTAGCGGCGCCCTCAGTATCCCAGTCATAGTACCAATTGGTCAACGACGTTCCATCCTGCCGTGCGCGTACTTGTATTGCATCCATGGGGGATACAAGGTAGGGGTAGTTGGCGGTACCAGAGCCCCAGCCCAGGCCAAGGATTCCGTCATCACCACCGCGATCAGTGTATCCGTTTGCACCCATGGCGCCATTGCCCGCATCCGAACCTGGAGCCCACATCCATGCACAATGAGATGACATAGGCCTAATTTGAAGATGAGCGAAGCTCACCGATAACGACCATGTTTCGAGGCTTGTTCAACGGAAGCGCGCCATTCGTGTTCTTGAGCAGTACAGCGCCCTGCGCACCGATCTCACGCACAATCTTGTAGTGGTCAGCCTCGACATCGATGTGCTTGTTGTGGACGGTGTCGTAGTAGTTGAATGCGTTGAACGAAACTGTAGTCCAATGTACGTCACATTGTGCCAGTATTCGGTATCGCAGCGCACTTACCATTGGGATAGTTCTGGTCCTGACCAAGGAAGTAGTAGCTGGCCATAATACGCGTTGCCATGTCATCGAGACGAGACATTGGAATGGTGCCATTCTCGACGAAGGCAGTCAAGTTAGCGCCCCAATAGGAGGTATTCGAGCCAAGTGTAATATCTCCAGGCATTGACATCTGTATGACCGCATTGAAGAGGATCGACATATCCCGATCGCGTTGCAGATGTGTCCATCACCACGGCACCGAATCCGATTTGGCAAGATGAAACACAGTACCAACCGACAGCACCAAGATGCCATCATAACGCACACAATGACAAGGATGCACGACATCGTTATGAAGATGAAAACAGATGAGAAAATGTTTAGCGCCAACATCCCATGAGACAGCGAATATACACGTACGTCTAAGCCCGCCATCGCACTCAGAGTACTCATTTGCGCACCCCAGTCGGACTGGATGTATCCAGGGAAACCGAGTTCATACTTCAAGATCTGGTTTAATGTCCTGTCATTCTCGCACGCGTAAGTATCATTGATCAAGTCTAACGAACGCATTGACAGTTAACAAACGACAAGCGGCACACGAACAAGTACTCACTATAGCTGCACATGACACTTGCCGCACCGGCCATGACACTTCTGGCAAATGGCTTTACATAGATCTCGTGGTTGGTCCTGTCGTCGACCTCCGCGCTCGCCTGTGTACGCATATGCTCCTGCTCACTGTAGACAATATTAACGTCCGCTTTGCAACCGTCCGAGCGGACTCACTAGTCAACAAAGTGCTTGGCGCAAGCCTGTACACCAGAGCCCTGCATGCCCAAAATGGTTTCGTATGCTGCCTCGCCGGTTAAGAATGGATCAACACCAAAGCCTTCCCAGTTGCGCCCTGCCTGCGCGACGCGACCCATGTTCATCATGGGACCAAGTGCAACATTTACGCCCTTGCCCTTGAATTCTGCGCCCATTTGCTCTCCTCGGATACGTATGGCCGTCCGATTGAAGCTGCGAATGTGTCAGCATATAAACCGGACAAACAGGTCAGTCACTTACGTCGCGGCAGTACTGATTCCCGCTGGGAAGACCGTATTGTAGTCGGTATATCGCACCCCGACCGGCGAGTCCTGCAGACACAGCCCCGGCCAGTCGCCGACTTGGCCGATGTTGCCAACACACAATCCCTGCTCCCAGAAGACGCCGGTGCTCACATTGACCTTCTGCTCCACAGTCAACGTGTTCACGAATTGTTCTGCACGGTAAAATGCGGCATCCCACGCGGCACTAAAGTCTGGTACGATGGAAGAGCCAGCATTATCCACAGCGGGCGGAGAGAGTGGAGACGTCTCGACGAATAATGGTGGCTGGGGGGCACCCGACGGCAGCGCGTACGAAGTAAACGCGTACGACGAGAGTGACCATGTCTGCCAGCCTGTTCAGACGGGTCAGCAGAAAACCGCAAACAACAAACACTCCATGCACGCACCAACTTCGGTTCCAGACCCAGAATTGTATGGAGGCTCCCCAGAAGTGGGCGAAGTCGCCACGGAGGGCGGGTTTGTAGGGACGGGGTCACCATAGATGGTGTAAGTCCCCGAGACAATGTAGGACACGCCGGAAATCTCGCCAACGTCAGCTGTGGAAGTGGGAGTTGGTGTGCTCGCAGTTGGGAGCACAGAAACGGTCGAGTTGGCGATAGCAGTGGTAGTGGCAGCGGTCGAGGTCCCACTCGCGGGCGCAGAAGACACCCCACTCACGGGCGCGGAGGAAGCCGCAGTCGAATTGAAGGGCAGGCTCGCGCCAATACCAGACGGCGACACCGAAGGGACAGCACCGCTAGTCGCGTTCAGTCCGACGGAGGACACTAAGGCCTCGACGCGCGCTGCAACCGCGAGAAGTGCGGCGAGCGCAGAGAGCCTGGCAGACAGCTTCATGGTAGCGACCACCGACGAGATGGGGGCCTGCAAGCTGAGTGCACGGACGCAGCGAGGTGCTCGGGCGAAACTCGGAAGCAAGGGTGGATTATATACGACCAAGCTGTTCGTGTCGCACGATCACAACCGTGGCTTTTTTTGCATCGTTCTTCGCCTCGCGGCATGCGCGCCCTTACAGCGGAGCGAGCACCGAACGAGGTCTCCGGCCGGTGGGGAGAGAACCCTACTCATCAGTCGATCGTGCGAGGAGAGGCTGCGCGTGACGCATCATATGATGTTATTCGTTCACGTGTGGCAGCTTCTAGCGTCCCGGATTAAGCATTCAACGCCCGGGAATGGCGATGTGGTTCATTCGTCGGTGGGTCGAGCCGCAGCGTAACATTTTGAGATTCGTAGAGCCTTCGTGCAGACCCTTGCTGTTCACCGGGGGCTAGCTGTATCGAGTGTGCGTGCGCGACTCGAACTGCTTGGGCACCGCCTTGCTTGGAAGCTCCTGGCGAAAATGCAAGGCTCCAACACGGCTCCGAATACTACTCGTCGACGCTCTTGGCTTCGGTATTCATGCCACGCCGACCTGACGGCATTCTCGATGGCAGCTCGGCCGCCCATACCTATATCCGTTCCGTCCGTATGGTCCTTTGATTGCGCGTCTAATCAGCCACCGCATCTACCCCACGGCGCTCCAAGCTAGTGGTGTCGGAGACTACATCTCATCGACCTTTCTAACCATCCTAGCTCGGAGTTCCGCGCCTGGGATTTCTCAAATATGACTTCCAACAGGATGCCGCTTAAGCCCCCCCCCC